CACACACACACACACACACACACACACACACACACGAAGGCACTTCCCTTGTGGAGGCATGGCGCAAACCCCATGTCCACTTCCAGGTGGCCCCTTCAGAGAAACTTCCTGGGTGGCCAGCACCCAGCACCCACGGTGGGCAGAGCTGGGCACCTGCAGTCTCTGCAGGAAGGGACTACCTGGGCCGCCAGCCAGGAACTGTGATCAGACACTTAATGAAGGCAGAATCCAGTGGCCCGGTTCCCCCCAAAACCTCCAGGGATTCCTGCAGAAACAAAATTGGAACTGGGTGCCAAGGTTTATCAGAGTGTGGCATCACCTGCCCCAACCCCAACTGTGTCTGCAACTAGAACCCCAGGTGGGCATGGGGGATCTGGAACGCAGAAGCTTTGACTCCAAGGCTTCTCATCTAGCAGAAAACTGCTGGTTTGGATGACGGCCCCTTTACCGTCCTCATGGGCTCTGCTCCCCTCTGCCCAGTGGGACCTCAGGTACAGGCCAGGGCACGATGTGGGGTCACACTAACTGCCCAGGGATCACCAAGTGAGGGCCTGGACAGCGCTGGGGGTACAGCAAGCACAGGCTCCACCCTGCCTTGGGGTGGTCACTTTGCAGTGCTCGGGGCAAGAAGCCTGGACATTCCCATGAGCCCCCGTGAAAGGATGGGCATGGGCTCTCAGCATACAGCCTCCTCTCTGCGTCTGTGTGCCCTGGTCTGTGGGCAGGTTAGGGATGCACCAGGCCAGTGCAGGGTCTGAGATACTGCTGCAAGGTCCAGCTCCATCTGGGGCTCATAAGAGGCCCGAGAGGGTCCAGCTGGACTGTCCAGCAGTGGCTCGTGGGCTCTTCGGGAACTGGGCTTTTCTCCCCAGGGAGCATGTGAGGATCTGGTGTGCCCAGGAGGCACCTGCCCATCTGCCCGGCTCCTGAAGGTGGTGGCCATGGGGGCTTGTGTCATGGGGACATTGCAGCCATTAGGGCTTGGAACCACTGCGTCTGAGGTGCCCGAATCCTCTCTTGGAGAGCCCAGCACTGGGGTACCCGTAGGGATCTCAGGTGGGTGATAGGTTTGGCACCGGCACTAAAGTCAAACCAGTTTATGAGGCTGGATTTGATCCTGGCAACTTGCCTCAGTGGAGAGCCACTCAGTGTGGTCCCCAGCACGACACCCACTGTGAAGCTGGTTCATGAGGCTGGGTCAGACCTGACACCTCCTTGGGTAAAGCTGGACTCAGGAGCCACACCCAAAGCAGCCAGTAGAGGCTGTGCCTGTCCCAGCTCCCATCTCTGCCCCCCGCTGCCCTGCTATGGGGTCCTGCTGTGCATTGGACATGCAGTGACCCGTAGGTCACTTTCACAAACAGATGTTTCATCACATTTGATATTTCGAAGTTTTAAAACTTAAAGACTGTGATTTTCTTAAAACTATAAGTCAAGGGGCTAGAGCGATAGCTCAGCAGGTAGGGCATTTTCCTTGCATGCAGCTGACCTGGGTTCAATTCCCAGTATCCCATATGGTCCTCTGAGCACTGCCAGGAGTAATTCCTGAGTGCAGAGCCAGGAGTAACCCCTGTGTATTGCTGCATGTGACCCAAAAAAGCAAAAAAAAAAAAAAAGGAGGAAATTAAAAAAAAACTATAAGTCAAGAATTTGTAAAAGTCTGTTGCGTCAAATCGAGTCCAGGGTTCCTGACATCCACTTCAGCACAAACAGCAGCAATATTTCCCCAGTCGTGGGTAGAGGAAACGTCTGTCTGCAAACAACAGAGGGGCCAAAACCCTGCTGGGAAGACCAGCAGAGACGGTCTTGGAGAGGTGGGGCCCTGGTAAGTGAACTTACATACAGAAGGTGGTCACAGTCCGAGAGAAGAGGCTTAGGATGAGAAAGAGGAGGCAAGTGAAAAGTCAGATGTGTCTCCCTGAGGATGCAGGATGGCCAGCCGGGGCGAGGTGCTGGGCTCTCCCAGTGGCATGTGTGGGCACTAGATGCCACGTTCTCACCCTGCACCAGGGCAAAGCTACCTTTCACACTACAGTGGCCCCAGGTGTGCCCCTCCTGCACGCCCAGGCAGTGTGGAGCCCACCCTCCTCCCCTCCAGGGTGGTGCTGAATCCAGTCAGCAGCCTTCCTCAGATGCAAGTATCCACTGTCTGGATGCGTGGCGCTGTGCAGTCTCCTTGGCAGAAGAGAACAGAGCCGCCCCGCTTCCTACAATGTCTCGTTTAAAATGTTGCCTGTTTTGTGTTGAGGAAACGGTATGTATGAGCCTTGCCTCCAGCCACGGCACTGGGTGTATTTGTCAGGCAGGATAGACCCATCTGTGCAGATATCAAAAAGCCTGAAGCATCTGTCATTCCTAAGAACACATTCCTCTTTCTTCTCTTTCATCCCTGTTTGCCCAAAATCCCAGTCCCGTTGGAAGCGGGGTTCCTGAGGAAAGTACTGAGGACGTGGAATGCAGCCTTTGGGACTGGCAAGGTAAGATGGATGCAGGGCTGAGTGCCAGCTCTGGGCGCCCACACACCTCACTTCATGCCAGTCACACCCCCTAAGGGGAAGCTGCCAACAGCTCTTGGAACGTTATATAACTGTCCAGGGGCCAGCGTTGACGAGTGACAGTTTGAGGACCTACATTCGGGTCTCTCGGCTGTGAAATAGTTTTTGTGAGAGGATTGGAGGCTTCTTGGAGGTCACCTTGTCCTTCCTCCTAAAATTTCACCAGAGGAAATGGAAACTGAAAGCCAGTGAGCCAGTGAGCTCAAGGTCATGAGTGACCGAGGTCAAAGTCAAGGAGAAGCTAGAGCTAGGAAGCATGACCCTGGAGTCACGGGGAAGCTGCATCCACCAAGCCTGGTCTGTGGAACCTTGTCACACCCACCTGAAGTGAAACCCACAAGAGCTGCACAGGGCCCTCCCAAATGGAACAACAGCATGAAAACGGTGATGGCTTAGCTACAAACACTGGGTCCCCTAAATGCTAACCACATGGACATCATTACCCCAACTCTGAAATTAGGACCACCATCACTGATGACCTTAAGTCATAACTTTAGACATTTTTGAGTTGAGTCAAAGAGAGTTTTGTTGGTTTTTATCAGTTTATAAGGAGATATTGCAGCACTCTCTATTTTTGCAGACTTTAATCATTAAGACTATTTCAAAGACCGTTGAAACGATTCTCTCAGTTGGACTTGATCAGTCTAACTCCCCTTCATTCAAATATTCAGTAACTATCGCATGCGGCAACCCTTCGAAAATAACTTCTTTATGGTTGTATCTGGATTCTGACAATCCATTAGATATCTGCATGAGACTTTGCTCAACTAAGCAATTTTCTTTAATGTCAACCTTGATGAAAAGGAAAGCATTAAGACAACATTTAAGCACTAAAGTGATACATGGTTAAGTGAATCTAAATAAACTAAGACAGTGAAGAAATCATCATTAGTTTCCAAGCCTTTGAGTAAATTTCATTGTGGAATTCCATGTGTCTTTTTTAATTGTTACTTTATCACTATTCATCTAAGAAAACATCTTACAATTAAACACAGCATGTCTTTCAACACTCGAGTTTGCTAAATAAAACTCAGCAAAGTTCAACGGGTTTACATTACAAGGGGATTTTATGTTTCATTTTTCTCATCTTTTCATCTGCAAATGTTGTCTGGCTTTTTGTCACGAAAAGTCACAAGATATTAACAAGTGAAAAGTGAAATTGGTGGCATACAAAAGGTGTCTCCCAGTTCAGCGAATAAAGATGAACCAAGAGCCTTCCCCTTAAGAGAGAGGTCTGGACATCTTGGGTAAGGCTTGGGAAATTCTCCCATTTCAGCAGAAACTACTTAAACTTTCCTCCAGCCGCCCCTACCCGCCTCCCTCCCCTGCCCAGGCAAGAGGGGCCAGGGGTCTGTTCAGGAAAGGCAGAAGGTGGAGATGTCCAAAATGCTCAGCCTGGAGAGGAAGCTCCGGCAGATGTAGCTCAGGGCAGGGCACATGGGCACACGGGCACTTCGTATTCCGGCAACAAGGGCTGGTCCTGGAATGCCAGGCTGACCCCTCCCAGGCTGGCCCCTGTTGAACGCTAGCAAGCAAAAAGCAAAGGAGGCCCAATAAGATTTCCAAGAGCCACGTAGGAAACAGATTCCTATAAAATTCTGTCTCCTGCGGAAATCAGGAGCAAGTGCGCAAGTTTGTAGGCTGCAGGAAGGGAAGGACCAGGGGGTGTGAGAGCAGAGACTGCGCGCCTGTGGGGGGCTGCTGCGGACATGGGCAGTGAGGATTTGGTTAGACGCCGGCCATCAGTACCCCCAGCACTGACCAGAAGCGCTGGACAGGATGGCCGTCTACATTCTCCTGCCACTGTCTGTTTGTGTTGCCCATACTCTGAAGCATGATGCCCCAAGTTTCCACCAAAAGGGTGCCCTGAAGGGGAGAGAGGAACTCCGTGTGCCAAGGGGCAGCTTTGTCACCAGAAGGTCCAGCTTCAACCCCCAGCGCTGCCCAGTTCCCCGAGCATCACGGGTGTGATGCCCAAGCACAGAAATCGGAGTAGCAACCAAGTACCACTGAGTGTGGCCTGGCACTGTTCTGCCCAAAGAAGGACTTTAATGACGTATCGGTTTGGAACGAGGCCTCCACGGACCCAGGGAAAAGCAACTTTGCAGAGAACCACAGCTCTGCGTCAGAGAGCACACGCTCTGTGCCTCATTCTCCCCACTCTAAAAATATGGCCATTTAGCCCATTTCACAACCAAAAGCTGTAGCACTGTCACTGTAGCACTGTTGTCCTGTTGTTCATTGATTTGCTGGAGCGGGCACCAGTAACATCTCCATTGCGAGACTTGTGTTACTGTGTTACTGTTTTTGGCATGTCGAATACGCCATGGGGAGCTTGTCAGGCTCTGCCGTGTGGGCGGGATACTCTTAATAGCTTGCCGGGCTCTCTGAGAGGGACGGAGGAATCGTACCCAGGTCAGCCGTGTGTAAGGCAAACGCTGTGCTATCGCTCCAGCCGATATACTAAAATTGGAACGATACAGAGAAGATTAGCATGACCCCTGCACAAGGATGACACACGAACAAAAAGCTAGGAAGCGAAAATACTCTTTCGAGCTATTTTTCCTTCCATGCGAGTTCTATTTCTCGTCTTCCCTCTGAGGAAGCCCGCCTACCCTCTCCCTTCCTCCTTCCTTGTGAAGTTCAGCTGCTTCCCTCTCTGCAGAGGCTCCACTCAGGGGTGGGACTCCAGACTCCCATCCAGTGACGCCCCTCAGGGCCAGTTCTCATCCTGGCCCAACACAGGTGCTTCTGCAGTGGGCTGCCCACCCCAACTCATAAGCATCCTGCCCTCTTCCTACGGCTGCTTCTTCTCGTCCCAACTCCTGCATGGAGCTCACACCTGCCTCTGTTCTTGGTCTTCTCTTCCCTTGTGAGCTGGTGCGGATTCAGGGCTACGTTTCTGCACAGTTCTCAAATCCTAAGATTTCACATGTGTCTGATCAAGACTTCTCTGAGAGAGTCCGCTGAACTTGACCCTACAATCAGATACTTAATGGAACCAGAGACTTGGCAGATACCCACTGACTTCCTGAAAACCATCTCCTCTGCCTCTTCTCCCACCCACTTAAACAACACACAGCCATGGGCTTCTGGGGGCTCAGGGCAAAGCCCCGAGTCATGGGCATCAGGCTCCATTATCATCTTTTAGCAAACTTCCCTGTCGCCTCCCGAAGGATGTACCACAAGCCACTAGAGGGATCAATGCCACCTCAGACACTGGTCCATTTTCTCTCACGTAGAAAGGACAGTACACGCCCAACAAACACAACTGCTTTTGCCCAAACTACTGTTCTCAGTCAAGTCCTGGAGAAATCTCCATAAACGTAAGACCCCTCCAGAAGTTCTCTGCTAAGCCCTGTAATGCGCCCTCAGTGGGAGTGAAAAACCTATGTCCACCCAACAGCCTAATGCTTCCTCCCATCTGGGCACCCTAACTTCCCACCTGACTCTTCTCTCTCTCTGGGTCTGTTTCTGGACTCCCTGAGGTTCTTGGGCATCACCAGCAAGCTCCTGCCTCGAGTTCTGCTTGTGCCTATGTCCTCGTCAGGACCACAGCACAAGCCCTTCCACACAAGCCTTCCAACAGGCAAATGGCCTCCCCCCCCCCTCAGCACTTTCTATCCAGCTTCCTTGATTTATTTCTACCGCTATTTAGCATACGAAGCAATTTACTTGTGTTTTTACGAGTCTCCCTGTCCCCTTATTAGAATATAAACTATAATAGGGGTTTGCCTATGAGGCTGTTTTCCCCAATAATGTAATGCATGCCAATAGGTTAGCGCCTACATGAAGAATGAATGGGAGAATAATGATTTGAATATTCAAAGGCCACTATGCCTGTACTCGCAGCCGGATCAAGCATGGAGAATCTACCCCAGCAACACTTCATCCTGCAGAAAAGGCTCTTGTTGAAGTTCCCACCAGCCCCTGTGGATGAGAGCAAAGGAGCTTGGCCCTTCTGTATCAGCTCATCTCTGCTTTAGATGCTATCTCGGCTGCTTTTTAATTTTTTTTCTCGAACCATTCTTTTGCCTTGGCTTGTCTCTCTGCAATTTGCATTTCAATTATACAAAAAGAAAAACTCTACCTCCATTCATGCAGCTCAGCATACACAGACAATAGATGATAAGTAGAATTCAAGTGCGACCTCAGAGAAATAAGGTTTCTCTATACTTTAAATTAAAAATGTTCAGACACAGCAGCTCTTGTTGGGGATTCTCTGGCTCCTCCACATCCTAAGGACACTGATCAGAAAAGCTGCAGAGAGCTCGGGCCTCCACATCCTGCCAAGGAGAGCAGGAAAGGAGTAGAGCCATAAGCCAAGTCCCAGCCCAGTGGCTTCTACTCCGGTTTCGGCAAACACAGATTTTCCATGAGAGAGACTTGCGACAAGGAGGGAAAATCGAGCGGGAATCCACGAAGAAGCAAGTTCTCAGAGTTTGTTTATTGTTTCCCCCGGGGGATGCTCTCCAGGCAGAGGTGATTGGGGAAGCTGGTTTCAACGTGCTTCTGTTTGGGAATGTCACAGTCCTCTGTGACATCAGCCCACCCTGGAGAGATGCAGCACTGCCCGGGTTCTGCCTTAGAAAATGCACCCGTAGCCTGAGCCAGCCCTCTAGCTCCTGGTCGCTCCAGTAGGCTCCTGTCTGTCGCTGTCCCAGCCTGCTCCCAAGACTCTGGGACTAGAGTCAGCTTTTCACAGTTGCACCCAGAGTAGCTCTGGACCGTGCAGCTCTGGGGATGGAAACCACGTTTCTGCCAGCAAAGGATGTTCTGCAGCCCAGTCAGCCAGCTCCCTGTCGAGGACCACCTGCACCGGGCAAGGACCCCTCCCACCTTCTCTCCTCACCTGAAAGCACCCCCCTCCCCGGACTGTGCACAGAATCAGGCCTCCATACCCATTCATGCTGCCCAGGGGCTCCCTCCAGCTGTGACCCTGGCTGGAATCTGCACAGCTGTGGGTTGGATGCACCTTCCGGGCCCGCTCAGCTGTTCTCCCCAGGCACGTGCCCTGATGACCCTGTTGGAGAGTGAGAGAGCTCACTTAGGAGCTTGTCCACCGGCACAGTGTGCTGATGAGGACAGATGTAGCTTTCCCCGCTTATCCTGCTGAAGGACACACCTGCCCCTCCCGGCACACGTTTTCTCTGCAAGGCTGCAGCGGGTCACGGAGGCTTCACCCTACTGGTCACTTTCTACCTGGTACCACAGCCCCCCTAGGCACAGCTCACCCTCACATTCTGAGTTAGGGGGAATCAGTTAACAGCTCCCTCTCTGATCAATCTTTAGACCCTGCAGTCATTTTAGGAGAAAAATACAAAATGCTCGATAAATACTGGATGTGGATAATACATCACCACTAATTTCATAGTTACTTAAAAGGAGATTCCTGTAAGGCATCACTAATGCAAGCCCCAGCCTTGCCAAATCTTTCCTGTGTGGATACACTGGTAGAATAGTCACATTAAAGTTTATTCCTTAATCCCGATAGTGCCAAGCTTTTGAAATTTCCATCTGCCGATTTTACCCTCTTTTTTTTTTTTGGCTCACAATCTAATTTGCTTGAGCAGCTTCATTCATAAGACAAATCAACTAAATCTCAGTTTAATAAAAATTGCCTATTGTTTGATTCTCTCATTACTTACATCAAATACTTGAATGCGATTGTCTGCATGTTTTTACATAAATTATGTTTCATGCAATACACTAGATTTTGTGTTCTTTTCTGCATAATGAAATAATCAGCATCTTTCATTTGAATATCAGAGTTTAATGCCACCAAAGAAGCGATGATATTTTAATGCCACCAAAGAAATGATGATGTTTTCAAGTGGAAAGAAATACAATGTGGAATGCTTAAAATAGCTCTTTGCAGGACCGGTTGATCAAGAAAAGTTTGTCATGAAAATAATTTTAGCAGGTGAGCAAATTACCCAAGGTTTGGGATGGCGGGGTTGAAGAATGAGGACACTCTTAAAGAAAGCAAATGCATTTCTATCTAAAACGGAACAAACTCAGGTGGAGCTATCTCATCTCAATGCCTGCAGAGTTTTGCATATGCTGCTGTGCTAAAATAGCCACTGGGCAAATCTGGCTAATGAGCATTTGCAATAGATAATGTGATCCCCAAAACTTTTTGTGTGTCTGTGGTTGGCCCATCGGAGAGCACTGAGCGTCATACAGACACCATGTGACACATTCCCTGGGTCATTCATCCATTGGCAGGAAGAAGCAAGGGGTCAGGGGTCAGGAATACTGCCCCAGTCAGCTGGGGGTTGAGTCCGGTGGCCAGGAGGGCTCAATCTCTGCACTGCACCCCTCACATATGAGGAGCATCTGGGTGGGTCCTTGGGCCTCCACCTAAGCGTCATGACCATCTTCAACCCTGACTCTTGGATGCAGGCTAAAGACAAGTCCTCACCTCTAGTTAGAATGAGACCAAATCGTGAATTTTTCAAGACAGCTTAAGAAAGACCATGGTTACCATTTGCCTTGGTTCCCGCCTCCCACCCCACTCAGAAACCAGCTAACTTAGTCTGAAGATGCCCTAAGGTGAGACAGACCATGTGTGGGGAAGCCCAGGGAGGTCGACAGCTGGGAGGAAACTCCCCAATATCTGAGACACATTTAAGTGCATCCTAGAAATGCGTCAGCTGCAGAATATCCAGCTAGGGGTGCAGACATCAATCCTTAAAGGCCAGGTGATAAACACAGCAAGAGAGACTTTTGGAAGTCTTTATTCCCTGTCCTTATTCCATGGCCCTCTCCCATGAGACTGGCCTCAGAGGGGGTGAGATCATCCTGGACACCGGGAAGCAGGGCTGGGATCAGGGTTCTGGACGGGCCATTGCTAAGGGGGCAGTTGGGTACGGACTGTGGTCTGCCCAAGCCAATGGCACAGGAGTCCTGCCTAGTGCAGCACACGACGGGGGAGAGGGGACAGGGGTAGGGGTGGGGAAGAAGTGATGTGAGGTCGTGAGATGTGGTACCTCATAGCTACCAGGAGGTGCTCCTGAGCATGACTCACAAAGTTTCAGTGAAATCTGCATTTTAAGGAAATGCACACGTGTGCATAGGAGCAGGTCCAGGAACCAGATACCATTTTTTTTTAACCAAAAGATATTCGCCAACACCTCTAGGGCACAGTAGGTGGGACGCCATGAGAAAATGAGCACAACTTGTTTTCATCCAGTGGTTAAATTTCAAGTTGATTTGTCACAGGGCAACAAATCACTCCCTTCTTGGTTTCTGGAAACTCTTGCAGGAACCTGAGATGAGGGACAGCTTAGCCCAAACTCAGCTCCGCCAGACTGGCCCCCAAACCAGTAGGGCTGGTGAAACTCGAAATGAGAGAGAGACAGACACAGAGACAGAGAGACAGAGAGACAGAGACAAAGAAGAAGAGAGAGGGAGAGAGAGGGGGAGGGAGAGAGATGGAAAGAGAGAGAGGGAGAGAGATAGAGAGGGGGGAGAGAAAGAGGGAGAGGGAGGAGAGAGAGGAGAGAGAAAGAGAGGGAGAGAAGGAGAAAGGGAGAGAAAGAGAGGGAAA